GAAGAAATAGAAAACCCGCACAGTCTCATAACCAGGAAAGTCACTGAATCGGAATTAAACATCTTCCCACAAAGAAAACACCAAGCCTAGACATCTTTCAGGGCCACTAAACATTCAAGGGAAAAAAAGAATCCTAATCTGATACAAAAGATTCCAGAATATAGAAACAGAGGGAACACTTCTCAATTCATTCTGTGAGGCTCACATAAATTTGATACCAAAACCTGATGAGGACAGTATAAGAAAGGAAAATCGTGTTACGTACGTATCTCACACGTGAACACCAACACAAAAATTCTAAACAAAACAATAGCAAGGGGATTTCAGCAGTGTTTAGGAAATAATATACAATGTGAAGGATTGGGGGTGATGGGGAGGCTGGAGACCACATAGGTGGCTGGAAAAATAAGCTAAGTGCAAGACGATGAAGGCCTGAGCGCTGAACTCAGCACGGAGGGAGAGGGGCTGAGAGCAAGGATGAGCTGCATCCAGGTGGCTCTGGGGTTGGGGGGCGGGGAGTTTTCCAGGATGACAAGACCCCAGGGCCCCACCTGTAGGCCTGGGTGGATGGAAGATTCCCTCTGGGATGAGGGACAGAGCACCAAGAGCAGGGTCTGGGGCAGATGCCAAGTCCTGGGTAACTGGGCCTTCCTGGTCCAAGGTGTGTGCTCAGCAAAGGGGAGGTGTGTGGGGGGGTGTCCTGGGCTGGGGGGCGTTGCTATCCAGGAGAAAGGTGTGCCTGGCAGGGTTCTGGGACAAGAGGCAGTGGAAGGAGTGTCAGGTGGTAAGGGCCGCTTCCCACCCACACCCTCTGAACTGGGGCCTGGAAACCCAGGACTTCTCTGGGTCCGGCTCGGAGCCATGAATATTTCCTGCCAAAACAGAGAAGAAAGCAACTCTCCCAGCTCACTGTGTGCCTCATATCAGCAAAAGCAGTATGAGCTGAGTTTGCAAAATAAACAGGGCTCAGCGTAAACACTGAGCAGGTCCTGGGCACTGAGCTAAGAATACACATGGGGGAGAGGGGCTGGAGAGCCTCCCCCCCATCGGGGCCCGGAGAGCCACTGGGATGCCTGCCTTCCCAGCAGCCCCGACTCCAGTGGGCAGGAGAAACCCGCGCGGGGGGCTGGGGGCTGGGCAGGGGCCGGTGTCCACAGGACTCCTGTCCCAGGGCCTGACGAGGCCCCTCCACTGTCAGAATCAGCCCTGCTCCCCAACCACAACAGCCCCCGGCCCTCACTGCTTGCCCTCCTGCCCGGCCCTCCGTGTTCACGCTGGTGTCCCTTTTGAACAGACCCCTTATGTTTTTGAAATCCTTCCTGGTTTCCTCCGTCTCTCTCCACCTCGTCTCCCCCGCCTCCTTGGGGTCTCCGCGGGGACCAGCTCTTCACCTAACTAGCTGTGTGACCTTAGGCAACCACTCAACCTCTCTGGGCCTGTTTCCCCACCTGCAAAAGAATTTATTTGGGCAAACAAAAGTCCTTTCCAGAGTAAAGACAACATGAAAGAGCATGTGGCAGCTCTGGTGGTCTTTGCACGGAAGCAAAGAGCAGTTCACACCTCCCCTTTCACAACCAAAGGGAGGCCAGTGGGGAGCGGGTCCCAGATGTGGGGCCGTTCCAGGTGTCTGCGGGTGAGGCCGGCGGGGCACAGGCTGCAGGGTGGGAATGCTGTTTCTGCTCTCTGCACCCCTGGAGCGAGGAGGGCCTGCACAGCCAGGCCAGGCCGCGGACAGGGGTACGAGGTTCCCCAGGGATGGGGAGGCATCCTGAAGGGCAGGTAGGGGGCTCTCAGTTGGAGTAAGGGCGCGCTGCTGCCAAGCCAGAGTTGCGACAAGGCCACCGGACTCCAGGGAGAAGGAAGTGCCTGGGGTCCTTCTCCGCAACGCGACCCCCAGCCTGGACATAAGGAGAGGGTGGCTCCCTGCAGGGAAACGAGACCCCCCTGAACAAGCTGAGCTGGTCTTCCCTGGGAACTCCCTGCAAGTGGACACCCCAGGCCCCTGACCCTCAGAGTGATCTGCTCCTGAGAGAGGGGGCCAGTCAGCGCTCATCCCAAAGGCTCCTCTCCCAGCCCCTCCTCTTGCGCGGGGCGAGCTGGCCTAGGATGGGACCCCTGTCACAGCTGAGGGCCTGAGCTGAGATGAGGAAGCAGCTGGGGGCCAGAGCCTCGACTCCCACTGCCAGGGCCAGGCTCCCTTCCGGCCTGAGGCCAGCCTGGCGGGGTTGGGAAGGCCCAGGGGCTCTGGCTGGGGTTGGCGGGCAGTGGCTCTGCCACTGCGTGGGCCTGCCCGGCCTCCAAGGGCTGGGCGGCTGCTCGATTTCCTGCCCCCAACTTCCCGCAGTCAGCAGGATTGCTCTGGGGTTGTTTATGGTCCTGATGGCTGCAGCGATAAGGTGGGGCCCAGGACGTGCCACTGTGCCCAGCGAGGCCCTTTCCCAGGGTCTGTCCCCCAGGGGGGCATCGGTTAGTGGCTGGGGAGGGGCTGGGCAGGCTGCCACTGACTGAGCCGGATGCCGCCCCACGGCAGCCTCTGTTTGGGTCCAGCACATCTCCACCGATGCCTTGACAGACAGCGGGGCGCTGCGATTCAGCGTGGAGCATGGGCCTGCTCGCTATCTCGGAGACCCTACGTGGGGGACTCCAGCTCTCAGACTGAACCGGCTCCCCTGCAGGACAGCGGGGTGAAGACAGCACAGAATCAGCCTCGCTAAGTTCTGTGCGGGCGGAAGCCCCTAGAATCCTCGCAACCCAGAAATGGCCCCTCTCGTGGGTGCAGAGCCTGATGGCCGAGGCCATCAGGGGCTTTGTTCCCAAACCTTGCCCCCAGGGATCAGGGACTCCGGAACCCGCTTCCTTTGTTGTTCAGATCTGAAGAAACGTGGGCACGTAATTGTGCACCCCAAGGCCAGCGCTGGCCCCACCTCAGCCCACCACACTGACCTCGGCCGACTGCCTCCTGGTTCTCGGACCCCCGCAGGCTGCCGGGCGGCTGCTGGCCCAGCCTGGGGAGGGGGCACTGCTCCAGGGAGCCCTGTCTTCTACCCATTGTCACCCCAGAGGACACTGGGTTCCAGTCTGGGCTTAAAGGGGTGGGCTGTCCTGAGAAGCATAAGGAAGGCCTGGTACAGCGGGGTGGGGGATAGAACGGGGCCTGGACGGGGAAGTGAGGGGCGGAGAGCGCATCTGGACGATGGGACAGCGCAGTGGCTCCCAGGGCTGCTGGGGCAGGCATGCTCACGGGCCCAGGGGCTGCCACAATTCCTGCCAGTGGTGGGGGCCGGTCAGCAAAAGCAGCCTTTGCCAAGGATGTTCCAGGGCTGGGCGAGGATGTCAGCATGGGTGCCTGTTTCCATTCCCTGGCTCTACCTCTGTTTCCTTTGAGGCCGGGAAGCCCCCACGCAGGGTCCCTGGCCTGCCGTACTGCCGCGTCTTGAAGGGTGTGCCAGCCCTGAGTCCCTGGTCTCACAGGCGAGAAAGAGCAAAAGCCAAGGACACATCTTGTTCACCAAAGCGGCAGAGTCCAGGGCCCCCGAGCCTCTGATCCTAACCGGCCTGGTGCGCTGACCTCTGCTGGTCTCAGTTCCCATCCTGCCAGGCAGGGACATGTCCTGCGGGGCCATCTACCTGAGAAAAGGCGAGGCATCAGCCCTGCTCAGGCCTTTGCTGGCCGAGGTGGGCCAGGCCCTCCGGCACGGTCAGGGTATTGGTGTCACACTGTCCCAGCAGGTCAGGCCTGAAGTGAGGGCCCCAGTGGGCACCTGGACAGCGACCCTCCCTCCCCCTGCCTGAGCTCACTTACTAGTTTCCTGGACCCCTTCAGCCCAGGCTAGCAGCAGACTGTAGAGGAGGGAGGGGGTGATGCTGCAGGCCCCAGGGCCCAGGTGTGGCTGGGCAGGAATGGGGAGCCGTGCCCCTGCCCGGTCTACCCAGCTGCAGCCAAGAAGGAAGTGGGCCAGAGCCAGGCGTTGCCGGGGCAACCGAGCAGCAGACGCCCTCCCTGCCTGACCGAAATTCTCTATTTTTAGCCTCCCAGCTACTTTCAGATAAAGTCCATGTAGATGGAGGAGCTGTGCGGCAAGATAACAGCCAGCTCCAAACCACAGAGACTTCAAAGGGCAGCGCCAGCCATGGGCCTGAGAAAGGCCCTCTCACTCCCCAGAACCTCCCCTGGCTCCCCGGATGCCCTGGGAAGAGGTTCCCGCGCTGAGAGGCTGGGCAATGGGCACAGAGCCTGGCGGGGAGCAGGGGCATCCCAGAGGCCAAGGCTGCACGGGCTGAGGGACCGGCGCCCCGCAGCAGAGGGAGCATGGGCATCACGGCAGCAGAGGAACCACAGGCCCCGAATTCCACGTGGATGCCCAGCAGGGCCTTGGCAGACACTCCACACCCCCAGCGTGGTCAGGACCCTACAGCGGAGGGTCCTGGAGGCCACAGCCCCTCCTGGCTACTTGACACACCCCTGTGCCACTGTCAGCGCCTCTGATGTCCCCAAGCGCACATGGGCTGGGGGCCGAGGAGCCACATGCACTGTGGACGGCACTGCCCACCATGGCATGCTCTGGGAGGTTCTCAGCTACTCCAGGGAGGGGCCTGCGGGCACTTGGTGCCACTTGCTAGTAAATACGCCAATTGTCAGAGGTCGAGAAACCAGCCTGGCCTCGACTCAGGCCGTCCTCCTCCCATGGGACCAACACTCAGCTGGGTGGGGAAGAGCGGACACAAGCCCTGTCTCAGGGAGACCCTGGCATCATGTGGGCAACACTGCACTGGGGAAGGAAGGGAGGAAAGAGAGCGGGAAGGAAGGAGGGAAGGACGGAGGGAAGGAGGGAGACCCACAGTGGCCTAGGTTACCATCCAATTCCCAGTACATGGTGGGACAGAGCCAGGAGAATGAAACGCCACTGTGGGTGGTGCTGTACTGGCCCCAAAGACTACGCCCACCAGGAGCAATGCCACACTGTCCCCCAGCCGACATGGGCTGGGACCCTGGTGCCTACCTTGTCTTCCACGCGATTCAGGCGGGCACCGATGCTGTTACTGCCACGGTCCTTGCTCTTTTCTGGGGGCAAAGCACAGAAATCAGGGATGCACGTGTGGGCAGGGGGGAGGGGCAGGGCAGGGCAGGGTTGGAAGGCCTGAACCTCTGAGGACATCTTTTAGAAGTGCATCTGTGGCGAGAACTTCAGGAGATGGTGGGGTGGGCAGGGCACTGGCAGGGCTCCAGCCTTCCTAGCTCCGTAACCTCGGAGAGCCCGTCAGGGGAGGACAGGGACACGTCCTGCCCAGGGGGGCTGCCTGAGGTACAAATCCTACATCCTGCCCTCCGGGGAGGCAGTGGCCTCGCTCAGGCCCGGGAGTGCCTGCTACCCCAGCTGCCCCCCCATCCCGGCCCCCACATGAGCTGCAGTGCCCACTTAAACTTGGGCTAGGGCAACCCCAAGGAAGCTGCCTGGCCCCGTCCTCCCCTGGTGCGCCCACAGCCCTGGTCCAGAGGACATGAGGACTCAGAGCTGGAGAATGCACCTGTTGTGCTGCCACCAATGGCCCCTCGAGCTCTGGGCTGGCGACTCATCCCCAATGCCACTCCCCGTCCCTCCCTGCACAGGATCCGGTCATGTCTCCATACCCAGGTCTTCAATGGCCCGGAAGAGTCTGCCATTTAAAGGGATCCACATGGGTCCTTGTACAAGCTGAAATTCGTTTGTAAAACATGTTCTAAGCCACCTTGCTTAGGGTGGGGTCTACCTGCCCCTTCTCTCTGGCTTTTGCTGCATGTCAGGTACTTTGGAGGCCCCAACAGCTGTTCTGATGGTGGGGAGAGGCAGGTGTGGGTGGAGGGCGGGAAAAAGGTCCAACACGGGCCACCATGCCCAGGATGCCTTGACGTGGAAACCCACCTGAGCCGGAGATGAAGAGGGAGGGCTTTCCGATGGACTGGTCCAGCCTGGGAGGGAGGGAGACAGAGACCAGCTTATGCTCGGCCCAGGCACCACATGGACACCCAGCCTGTTGGCGGGCAGATGGGCTGATGCGCCCAGCAAGACAAGCTGCCCACCCCCTCTGGGGGTCACCCACCACTGCCACCCACACACCTGCCAGGTGCCTCCCAGGCCCGTGCTTCTGAGGGGGCTGGGCAGGGGGCTGAGAGACGAGGGCCAGTGGTTGGGCTGCTCCTTAGAATTCCTCCCGGGGCAGGGCGGAGGGCCCAGGATCGCCCAGTGTCCTGTGGCCACTTCATGAATGCCCCAGGCCAGGCGCCTTGGTCACGCTCAGAGAAGCAGGCCTGTGGGTGGGCCCTTCCAGGGCGAGGCCAGGTTGCTGAGCAGGGTGTACTTCACGTCTCATTGGTGGGTCAGTGACGGGGGGGCAGCCTGAGCCCCCAGCCGTGGTCAGGATGGGCACATTCCCCTGCCACACTCTGTGACACCCGGAACTAGGTTCCCAGGCTAGCCCACCGAAGAGGTACAGCTGGTCTGGGCCTGCACAGACTCCCAAGAACCACGCTGCTTACATGGGGACAAGCTTCCCAGGCTTCAAGCCAGAAGCCAGGACATGTTGGCTCCCAATGGTTAGGATCCTCAGCTCCAGTGGTGGAGACCCCAGGGGTAGGCTGATGGTGGGGAGGGGCCTTGTGCCAGGCAGGGTCTCCCCTGGTGGTGGGTGTCTCCTGGGGCAGGGCCTGGCCCTTGCACGGAGCTGGTGCAGCAGGAGGCGGGTGGGTGGGTAGGGCTGCGAAGTGACCCGCAGCTCTCAGAGGCGGGACAATATGGAGTTGGGGGGCAGGGGAGGCGACGTTGTCCTTCCCACCTGCCCGCCACCCCCCACCTGACCTCCTTGTCCTCTCAGATGGCCAGCGGTTGCGGCCCCTCCCCGGTGGCCCCTGCCCGGGCCCACCTTCTCTGCAGCTCTTTGATGCGCACCATGAGGTTGAGGTGGCCCTGGGAGTACTGCTCGATGACGTCCCGCACGTCGTAGGGCTTCCGCGCTTGCTGCAGCCAGAGAGACATGCGTCAGTCCCCTCCCTGTGCCCGCTGGCTCTGAGTGAAACGCAGACAGCGACAGCGCCTGCCTTGGGGGGTCTTTTGGGGAGCTCGCTCGAGTGGCACGATGGGGCAGGCCTGGCCCAGGACACACGAAGTAGCTGGGCTCACCCCACTGGCTTGGCCACTCCATGCTTGGCGACTCCATGCTTGGCCACCAGGTTTGGGTGACCCTGGGCTGGTGGCTCAGCTTCTCTGGGCCTCAGCTTCTTGCCACTCCCCCGTCCAGGCTACCAGTTCCTGTTTTCAAACAGCCTTGGAAGAGTTGGCCCAGCTGAGGGGCCCGGAGGGGCAGCACGGCCGCCGGGAGGCAGCCGGGAAGGCGCAGCTCTGTGCAGCCACGGCCTGCCTGGGTCCCAAGCTGACCCTTGACACGCTCACTGGCATGCACACCCACTGTTCTCAGGGTGGGAAGGTGGCCCACCAGGCACACTTCCCAGGCAGTCCCCAGTACTGGGCCGAGGTGGCCCCAGGTGACAGGCCTCCTGCTGGGGCTACCGGGAAAGAGGGATGCTCCCGCAGCAGGCCTGGGGCCAGGCGGGCAGGATAGGCGACCCCGGGCACCCAGGCCTGGCGCCAGCTCTGAGCCCTTAAATGCATCCGGGGCTCAAGCGAAATCACCAGAAACCACAACAGAGAGAACAAGGCTTCTCATGACGTCACAAAACCCCAAGCCGCATTTATGGCCTTGTGCCCAGGAGCTGCAGGCCAAGGGTCTTGCCCAGGTGGCAGCAGGTCGGCAGAGTGGGGGTTGGATGGCCCGGGAAGCTCCTCGCCCACACGAGCAGGCTGGAGTCACATGGGAAGACAGACCACCACTCTTGTAGGGACCTCAGAGAGACAGGGCCGGTGGGGCCCAGGAGCGTCCTCACCAGCACTGAAGAGCCCACATGAGTGATGAGCGGGGGTTACTGCCTCTTGCTGGGGAGTGCAAAGGGCCTGAGACACATGCCAGACAGCCCGGGGGTCGGGGGGAGGTAGGGCCAGCCCAGGTCAGAGGACGAGGTGGGACAAGGGGCAGATACCCATTGAGGGTCAGGGCCGGGTCTCAGCCCTGGGGTCCCAGGGGATATGTCCTTCCTGCCCACCTGAGGCCTACTTCTCCTTGGGGTGCCACCCCAGAGACTGGGGCTACCTTAGTCTGAAGGCACGGCCATCTTTGCCTCCCCAGAAAGACTGTATGCCCCCGAGGGCAGGGTCCTGCCTCAGGTCTCTGCCATCAACACTGGCAGCTTGGCAAAGTTCTTGTAACTCCCCAACATGGCCCCGGGCCCCAGGAATCCCAAGGCAGGGCAGAGACCTCCTCCCTACCAGGGGCTAGGCCCCAGAAGTCTGGGGGGTTCCTGCCCTCCACAAGATCCACCAGGCAGGGCCCTCATGGGTAACACATAGCCCCTCTCTGGGCCCTAAATACAGGATCTTGATTTGGAGGGGCTGGGAAGTAGCCTGCCTTCCCCATACCACAACTGTGCCCCCAACAGAAGAACTTGCTGCTTCTGGGGGCCATGCTGGGCACCAGGACCACCTATGTCACCTTGTGGCCTACATTCCTAGACTGTCATGGTATCATGGAGTGGGAGTCTAGGCAGACCCTCTGGCTCCCCACACACTCAGCTTAATGGCGGTCACAAAATCGGCACTTAGGTTCAGGCCAGTGATAATATCTCCAGGTCTTAGTTTTTACTTCTGTAAAATGGGGCATACTGAACCCTGCTGTTCCCTTTTGTAAGATGGGGATGCTGAGCCTTGTCCCTCCCTTCTGTAAGATAGGGATGCTAAGCCCTGCTCCCCTCTTCTGTAAGATAGAGATGCTGAGCCTTGTCCCTCCCTTCTGTAAGATGAGGATGCTGAGCCTTGTCCCTCCCTTCTGTAAGATGAGGATGCTGAGCTCTGCTCCTCCCTTCTGTAAGATGGGGATGCTGAGCCCTGTTCCTCCCTTCTGTAAGATGGGGATGCTGAGCCCTGCTCCTCCCTTCTGTAAGATAGAGATGTTGAGCCTTGTCCCTCCCTTCTGCAAGATGAGGATGTTGAGCCCTGTTCTTCCCTTCTGTAAGATGGGGATGCTGAGCCCTGCCCTTCCCTTCTATAAGATGGGGATGCTGAGCCTTGTCCCTCCCTTCTATAAGATGGGGATGCTGA